AAACAACTGGTAATTAAATTTGTCTATTCTAATTCTGTTAAAACAATTGTACTAGAATACAATGCCATATAAAAGTCTAAGTGCAGGACTGGCATCCAGGAAGTCTTGGGTCACATCTTTCCTTCAGTGCCAATATAGTTGCATGGACTTGCTCAAACTACAGCAATCAGAATCTGTCCATGTGTTACAGAAGGAAATCACCCCTGTCTTGCAAATGGAAGGGATATATTTATGTGGCACAGCACCTTGAAGCAATGAACACTACACATGTAAGATGTCTTGTCCTGGAGAGATTTATGCGGTGGATACATAAACTGTTCAGATCGTACTTGGCTAGGAAGAGAAGTGCTTCAGGGTCTCACTGACCTGGCCATGTGATAAGCCCTTCAGAAGGGCACTGCGCATGTCCCTGGATTTTTCTCGGAGATTTTGAGTCTGGAATCATGGTATGGCGCTGCTGGCAGTAGTTCAAGCAGATCACTGAAGCTCAGTAGTGGAATAAGACACATGCCCAGATAAAGGCCACTTGCAGAAGAGCTTGTTTCTAGGCTGAAGGCTTTGTCAGCCTTGCTTTTAGGACCGGGGCCTCCTTCCTTCTGGACTCAGTGACAGGGTCAGCTGATCTTCCTCTCCAAAGCAGAGGAGTTTGTATGTGAAGTTACCTTGTGACAACTCCACCAGAGCCCAGTTGGTGTTGGGATAGCAGCTGGGGATCAGCGCCTACTTAATGATGCATTTGACAGCTGCTAGCTCTTGAGGTGTTGTCTCCAAAGCTTGATGCTCTTAGTATTTTTGTTTACCTGAGGTCTTTTGAATTATTCTTTGCAACTGTGAGGGTTAGAAGTCTGTTGCTGTAAACATCAAAGTTGTGTGTCTGTTGTAGTAAGAGTTGTGCTGAGGGCAGAGGCCTTTAGTTCCTCTGCTGCTTCTGACCCTGGTGATGGTGGGTGGCTTTTCAGTGACTGCAGGGAAATGACATACGGTGAAAGTGTGTTAAAGTACCTGTAAGCAGGCAGTGAAAACTTCCCAGCAGCCAAATATTTGTCCATAGCCACAATAGACTAACGTTCCAAGTAGTGACTCTTCCAGGTAGCATTACCTAGGGATTTGTTTAGAGTTAGAAGTGTCATACCTGGGCTTATTCCCAGATCTTCACAGCCCTGTTGGGAGACTTGAATTGCTGATGACCACCCCACCTGGTCCCCTAATTGTTGTCCACCTGGAGCACCGTTGAATTCGATGGGGTTTGTAGGAGCCCAGTACTTCTGAACGTCAGTTTGCAAACTTGTCCCCTTTCCTGTCTGAGCAGTGGGTGTGTTTAACTACTGTGGTGTGGGAGGGTGATCCCAAATTAATGATTTGTAAATGGCTTTGTAGTTCATAGTGTATTACATTTGATGGCCTAAGTTTTCTCCCAGTACCCAGGTGCTGTAGAGGCCACGCTGTGTCTCCTTCAGGGGCAGGAGTAGGTTACCTTTGTGTTGCATAGCAGTAATGGTGGGGGAACAAAACAAAACCCCAAACCAACCAAACAACCTACACAAAACAAAACAAAAACCCAAACCAAACAAACAACTTACAAAAGAAAATTAGCAGGATGTCCTGTTAACATGTCTTGTTTTGAAGGGCAGTGCAAGTCCACCAGCTTTCTAGGTTTCAATGTAATAGAGGCAGGTATTTAGTATATTAATTGTAGTATGTTTCAGCAGCTGCTTGCACAGCCTTCATTAGGAGCTTGGGAGAGTGGTTGGCATCACTTCAGCATCTTCCTGCCCCTCTTCTGAAGACTTGCTGTGGCCACAGAAGTATGGGCACAGTCTCTGTGGAGATGCTGGAGAACATAAGGGATTGCTTGTGACAGTGTTTCAGGCAGGCTCTGTCTCAACTCCCTGGTTTTTGTTTTAAGATTTAAGAAAAAAATCTCTTCAAGTCTGGTATAATCTTTCTTTTCTTGACAATTCTTGGAGATGGCTGCTGGGAACTACAGACTCAGCAGGCACAGGGTGTGCTTGAGGGTCTCAGCTCATCTCCTTGGGAAAGGAGATGATAGGATCTGCTACACAGGTGGGAGACTAAATTGATCCGGAACCTGGTTTAGGGCTCAGTATGTCACCCAGTCCTGAGCTTGAGGCTGTGGAGCTGCTGTTTGGCCACCAAAGTAAACTCAGGTTAAGGAATCCTGCCATCCCTTACCACTTGCTCATTATTTGCAAGACAGCCCCACAGAATTGTGCTAGGAGGGTGGCAAATTGCAGTACAGAGATGGGAACAGGAGCTGGGAAGGAAATCTTTACCTAGTTTTGCTACCGGGGCTGGTACCTTGTAAAGCTGCGATCTGAGCTGGAAATCCTGCAGCATCTCTTCACTAACATCGACCTGGAATTTATCTGGCTGTCTGCCATGTGCTAAATAAACCCGAAGTCATGTTGGAGGCTCCTTCTACCCCCTTGAATCCCAGCCCCTTTCTGGGATAGCAACCCACAGGCCAGATTTTCTTCTGTGGAGGTTTTTAAGCGACCGCTTTGGAGCCCCTTGAAACTGGATACTAGTGGGAATTCCTGCAAGGCCTCTCTAACGTTGCTGCCTGTGACATCCTGCAGTGAAAACACGGCTTGGATTGAGGACCCATCGGTTGGTAAATCAGTACAAACCCAGCTAGTACAATTGAATTTCCTAACAAGCAGTGAAGAGGTCTGGTTAGGTAAGAAGTGTTACATACAGTGAGATCAGAGGTCTGCACCTCTGCCGTCTGCTGTGTGGCGATGATTTTTAAGGAAATCCTAGTTGCGTGGTGTGGTCTGGCTTCAGACTTGTTCTTGTACCTTCACCTTCCTGCCTTTTTTTAGGAAACTCAAATTCTGTGTTCAAGCAATGCCTTTTTACCGCTTGCATCTTTGCAGTGCCCTGGCACTTAAGATGCTGTCCTCAGAATTAGGACTTGGCTTGTATTACTGTGTCAGACTCGGGAGTTGTCTTTCAGCTGGAAAAGTACCAAGTTTGATTTTTCCTTGAAAGAGATTGCATTTTAAAAAGACCATTCTGATGGTGTCGTAACTGTTGCTTGCCTTCTTAAAAAACTTAATCTTGTTCAAACCTAGTGGGAAGGAGTTAGATGCTCTCACAGAATCTTCCATGTACTGTTGGCAGAGGGGGACTGCCCAGGTGGTTGTACATATTTTGGTTTAACTTGTTCCCGCTGGTATCTAGTCTTTGGTTCATGGCTCTCGCTTCCCTTGCTAGTGGAAGGAGACTCTAATAGAGAGAACGGAGGAGTGATTCATGCTGAGGAAGGGAATTATCTCTTATCTAGTTTGTCTCTAAGCCAGTCCTGCCAAAGCTGACTTTATCCTTGAGAGGCTGAAAAGTTGGTCTAAAAGGTAAATATTTGTTCTTTAAAGTGTCTGAAACCCAGGCATCTGGTGTGCTTGCTGATGGGAAGGAAGCTACGCTTGTCTGTGTTCATGCAGCACAGGGCGATTCAACCCGCAAGGAGAACAAACGCTGTTCTTGAGGAGCGTAATTAAAAACTTGCCGAAATCTGTGTAACCTCATCGTCAAAGCAATGTTTTCTCCCACCTCAGTTATGATCGTAGGTCTGTGGGAAAGAAAGCTAAGAGGTCTAGCTCCTGGCTTCTCCGCTCTCCCAGCACCGAGGTTCCTGGGACAGAGACTTAAAATACCAGCGCTCATCTGCATCTTAGAGAAAGTCACTGGAGCTTTGTTAAGTCATCTGGGATGAAGATCAAATACTGAGCAGTGAGGCTTTTCTTCAGGGTTGTATAGAGGAGCTTTTGTAGTACCAAGTAGAATGTTTCCATACCCTTTCTTTTAAGAACTGCAGTGGAAATTCTGCTTGACTTTCTATAGCCAACCTGCCTCTGCCTTGGTGATTGCCC